ATTAATGGCAATACTAACAGACACCTGCGTATATTAATGTCCGCAGATATACATACCACTATCTGAAAAGCAAATATAGCAATGCATTCGTGTACTAACGTAGTATATTCGTATTTAATTTGTCATATACCCAGTTTCCAACGTGACAATATACTACTTGTTAACGTCTGATTATACTGTATTGATATGCTAACTTGCTAAGACACGAATACTGTAATATGCAAGTACACTGACACATGGCAATGGTATACTAACATATGGATATACCAAAAAAGTTGTTAGATAATATACGAATATGATAAATGAAGTAGCATACCAGGATACTCATACACTAATATGTTAATAATCGAAGATAATAGCACACCAATATACTAATGTACTCATGCACGAACGTACGCATGCATTAATATACTAAGAGCATACAAACATGCAGGTATACAAACATATTACTGTTCGAATACATTATAATGTGTTGGTATACTAAGCTGTTTATATAATCTATCAGTATACTAATATATCAAAACTAATTATAGTATTGATACGCATACTAGCACGTCCGCGAATATTACACTGATGTTAAATTCATCATTAAGACTGATTAAAACTGACATCGACATTGGCACTGGCATCAACACTAATTATCACTAAATATGCTAGTGTACTAATATACGAATACTGTAAAAGGCAAGTACACTGACATGTTCACATGCCATTATGCCAACATATTGATATACCTATAAGCTATTAGGGAAAATACGAATATAGTAAATGTAGTAATAGACCACTATAATAATATACTAATATACTACTACGTTAACATACGAATATCATGATACACCAATATACTAATGTACTCATGCACCAACGTACTAATATATTCGCGCAATCTTCAACTCTGCAAATATACTATTGTTCGAATACATTACTGTATTATTATATTAAGCTCAAAATGTACGAATCAATCAGTATATTCACATATCAAAACTATTTCTATTACTGATACTAATACCAGCACTTCTGTGAATAATAAACAGATACTAAAACCAGCATTCAGACTGATACTAATACTAACACGAGTACTATTACTGACATTGACATCGACACTGGCACTAACACCAGCACGAACATAATCACGAGTTCATGTTTACTATTATTGATATGTATACTTTTATTCAATACTAATACTAATACTGATGCTAATACTAATACTAAATACCAATACCAATACTAGTACTAAAGCAATACCCATCCTAATATCAATACTACCACAAAACTATTACTCATATGAACACTGATACCAGGATTAGGACTACTACAAACAATGACAGCAGTACTAAGAATAGAACCAAGAACAATACATATTAATCCTAACACTAATACTAGTACTAATACTAGCTACTAATTCTAATACTCATACTCATACCAATACTAATGTCACCACTACTGCTGCTACTACTACTGCTACTACTACGACTACTACTACTACTACTACTACTACTACTAGTACACATACTTAATACTAAAACTAATACTGATACTCATACTAGTCACTAATACTAATACTAATACTCATTCTAATACTAATACAAATACCAATACTAATGCTACCACTACTACTGCTGTGCGACAACTATTGCTAGTACGACGACTACTACTATTAACATCAATACACATACTTAATGCTAATACTAAGAGTAATACTAATTCGAATACTATTACTCATACTAAACATCCTAATATCAATACTACCACAAAACTAATACTAATGCTAACACTGATACAAGAATTAAGATCTACAAACAGTAATAGTGGTACGAAGAGCAGAATTGAGATTAAGATTGGGACTAGGAGCGCTGCATGCGTGTGAAGAAATTTCCAAAAATTGCAAACCATCTAAAAGAACATTTTGGAATTGAGTTTGGGAGAAGTGTCTGTCGCCTATCCGTTGACAGATCCTGCCTGGGGACGCACGCCACCCTTCCCCTTCCCCACGACGGTCTGTCATGGGGGGGGGGGGTGAGCATATATATATATATATGTGTGTATTCAGGTATAACACATGTGTATATGTATGTGTGTGAGCATGTGCGTGTGTTTGGTCATTATATACATAAGCATATATTTACTACAGGTGATGTACTTTATTAAATGCCATATATTTTATATTGCATAATACATACTGTACAGGATAACTTATCTAGCATATGTTGTATGCTACATATTATAATTAGATATTCGGCTTACTGTATGTGTCATATTAGGTATCTCGCTTTTGTTTCTGGACAAAGGAAGTATTTAGTATACACTGTGCCAGGACGAATGTTCGTCGTACTCTCGCATGTTGGTCTTGAACACCTTGCAAAACCTCTTCCTCCTTAGACTCCTCCAGCCAAGTCCTCCATCCGGAACATTAAAGCAAAACGATTTTTTTTTATCTCGATTACTTCCTCCGCTAGCCAGGCCGCGAAAAAAAAGAACTTATCGGTACTCCTCGTCCTCCGCATGATCCTATAGGCAAGTGCGATGAAGCTTTATTCTTTGCGATGTATTTTTTAGTATGGATCATGAATTTTATGTTTTATGCGTTGCATATTCTGTATCAAAGTATATCTTGCATATCACATATTACATGTTGTATTGGATATACTGAATATAGCAAGCCATATAAATCTTATATATATATGCTATATTACCGACAACATGCTTATACTTTATGTTCTTTATGATATATTCCTATGCTCATACATTATGGTTTGTACGGTGAAAAATCTTAAAAAACATATTGAAACAATGTATGTACTGTATGTTATATGTTATCAAGCTTACATGCTTCACTATATGTTTACAAGCTATCTACATGCGATATAGCATAATATATGATGCATGTCATATAAAAGCAACTAGCGAATGTGTACTATATCTTTATACGTACACAGTAGAATATGCCTCATGTAATACAGTTTGCTGTCTATATTGTACTGAATTATGCTACACATACATACATAGATACACACTGTCACATATACATATATCTATATATATGTATCAATATAATACATATATATATATATATATATACACGTGTGTATACGTACACATATTATACATATACATTTTTTATGCGTATACAGAATGCGAGGCATATGCTTGTACTAACTCTGATAATGGTATGCATATATGCATACACAGAGGTGTACACATGTGTATGAATTTCTATACAATGAGCATATACTCTCCCTGTGAAAAAATGTGTATATACATACTTTGCGTGTATGTACCAGCATATGTGAACTATGTGCATATATATATATATATATATATGTACATATATGTGCATGTATATCTTGGTTTATTCACTTATTTCTATATTCCTTTTGTCCTTCCTTCTTTCCTTGTCTCCTCCCTTCCTTCCTTTCTTCCTTGCTTCCTTGCTTCCTTTCTTCCTTCCTTGTTTCCTTTCTTGTTCCTTTGCTTCCTTCTTGCCTTCCTTCATTCATCTTTTCTGCTAATTTAGTTTGTCTGATCCAGATTCATTTTCCTATTGCTCCAAGCAAAACATTTTGATCCCTATCCCGTGATACCGCCATCCCGCGTGACCGTTCTCTATTGATCTAGCTGCTTCCTCGGGAACAGAGTCCATCAGCTGGGAAGGAATTCGTGCATGAGCCAAATGTCTATATCCCGAACTTTGCAAAATCGCCCTTAATACCCTTAATCCTGGCTCTGAGACAAACAACACACCTCGTTTCATAGGCTTTTCGGAGGGCTAAGGGCTGAAGGTCTACTAAGGCTCTGTAGGGTCTGGAGCTTTAGGGTAGGGCTTAGGGTTTAGGGTTGACCCAGACCCCCGGGCGGATCTAGAAAGTTGACCCCAGATTGATTACTGATTTGGGGCCCTATACTACTAAGGGTACTTTATAGGAACCCCGATTAAGGGATCTACCTTTTGGATCCGCCCGGGGGTCTGGGGAGGGGTTTCGGGTTCGAGTTCAGGGCCAGCCTTTGGAGGCAGGATACAGACTTCAAGTGTAATTTGGAAGGGGCGGCGGTACAGAGTGTTGGTGCTGCTTCGTTTGCATAGTCTTCCGCCGAAACTTCGTTAGAGAGTACGGGATACTGTCATTCCAACATCACCCAGAGCTCAAGTTCAAGTCTTCTACCTCTAAATCCACAAATGCCCTCGTCGAGCCGAGCTTGTGATGTCAACTCAAGACGTTGTAATACACCTATATAGAGACGATACGGGGGCATTCCTTTTGAGTAATCACACCTCCATACCCAAACCGATAAACCCCCAACCCCTAAACCTATAGCAATCATTCTTTGCCGGAGCCCAAACTAGTCACCCTTCCCGTGCCTCGCAACTACATCCCTCTTCAGTCTCTACCTTGACGACGACATGAACCCCAGAAGGGTTAGTTTTCATATACCATAGAAGGATTCAAAACATAAGGGTACAGGGTTCCTACTTTTAAGGGTCATTTTGTCTTTGAGGTATACACTACACCTATAATACAACAATGAATGCAACTACTACAAGTGGTAACAAGAACAAGCATACCAGTTAGAATTCTACTCACAAGAAGAGTACACATTGTCATTTTCAGAATGCTAGCAATTATCATGGTAGCAACGATGCTAACAACACCAACAACACCAGCATCAGACCCGAAGGGAGAAGCGCGACTTCTTAGGATTATCCGGTCGCAGTTCAGACTGCCACTTGTCCTCCTAGTTCCGTCGGCACATCGCATTGTCCGCATTCGGTATCTCCAAAGCACACCAGCTGACCGCTTGATTTCACTGCGCACGTGTGATACCGGCCTGCTGAGACTGCCACAACTGCTCCCAAATCCGCCGGCACATCGCATTGTCCGCACTCGTTATTTCCAAAGCACATCAGCTGACCGCTTGACTTCACTGCGCACGTGTGATCATCGCCTGCTGAGACTGCCACAACTGCTCCTAAATCCGTCGGCACATCGCATTGTCCGTCTTCGTTACTTCCAAAGCACACTAGCTGACCGCTTGATTTCACTGCAAGTGTGATACATGCCTGCTGAGACTGCCACAACTGCGCCCACATCCGTCGGCACATCGCATTGTCCATATTCGTCACTTCCAAAGCACACCAACTGACCGCTGGATTTCACTGCGCAAGTGTGATACATGCCTGCTGAGACTGCCACAACTGCGCCCACATCCGTCGGCACATCGCATTGTCCATATTCGTCACTTCCAAAGCACACCAACTGACCGCTGGATTTCACTGCGCAAGTGTGATACATGCCTGCTGAGACTGCCACAACTGCGCCCACATCCGTCGGCACATCGCATTGTCCGTTTTCGTTACTTCCAAAGCACACTAGCTGACCGCTTGATTTCACTGCGCAAGTGTGATACATGCCTGCTGAGACTGCCACAACTGCGCCCACATCCGTCGGCACATCGCATTGTCCATATTCGTCACTTCCAAAGCACACCAACTGACCGCTGGATTTCACTGCGCACGTGTGGACGTCGCCTGTGGAGACTGCCACAGCTCCCGAATCCGTCGGCAAATCCTGCTGTTTCAGTCCCAAGCAAACCAAGTGAGTCTCTGGTCTTACTGCACCACTCTGCCTGTTGCTGATGGAAGCTCCAGATTTGTAGCATTGTACAAGCGACCGTTTGCTGCAGGACGGCTTCCGGAAATGCCACCGGGACAGAACTAAAACGTCCGCGGCAAACCAGGATGTCCAGTACAGTATGGCGAGTCGTAGAGCGACTCTGCAAATCGACATGGCCTGAGTAAGAAATGTTGCCTTGTCTTTGTCTTGCCGTCTCATGATCCCTACACATCATTCGCAAATCACACCACGTACCTCTGAAACTACAAGGAAACCAACTCTGACAGAAAGTAGTGCCCCATTGAGACTACAGAGCTTGGCCCCTAAACTCTCCTCAACCTTGAATCCCACCCGAAACCTGCTCATATGGAAACATCTGGACTTAAAGGCGAAAATGCTGCAGAACCGGACTTCTGTTTAGCGTGGTGGGCCTCTTTACGTTGCTGCTGATCGCATGCAGTGCAGAAAAACAGCTCGAAAAGCTTTGCGCTTAGTTTTAGGTTTTAATGCTTTCGGCTTTGAACACTGACATAGCGCTTACTTTAAAGGGGTCCTTAAAGGGGCTACTATAAGGGATCTATAGGGGTACCATACTATAGGGGCCTTAATGATGAGAATAGGGTTCCCTTTATCATGCTTTGGGTTCGGGGTGTACGCCGCCACTTGGACTGCAAGGTCCCCAGCGACTCTAAGATCCTTTCATTCAGAACTAAGTTCCCAGAGAGCCCGATACGCCTTAATTAAGGAATATACCCTTTAGGGGGTTTCAAGTTTCGATTTAAGCTATATTCCTTGATGAAGGGGTACTGGGCCCTCTGAGTTCTTGTTAAGAAACTTAGCCTAAGTTTGGGTTTAACGTTTAGGAGGAACTTGACCAAACTTACCATAATCGGGTTCTTATTCAGGAGCTTTAAGGAACTTCGGTTCTGAACTTTACCTTAGGTCAGGGTTTATGGTTTAGGGGTTTAGGGTTTTGGGGTTGAGGGTTTCACTTAATTTACTGTAATGGGGATCTCGAAGACATGATATCGTTTCCTTACTATGGCAACTCAGGCTAAGTTCCGGAACGCAATAATCCAGCGATTCAAGCAATACATGCGGGCGTATAAAGCTTACCCAGTTTTCAGGGAACGGACAGAGTTCAACATCACTGCCATTAAGAAGCCAGTAAGGGTTTCATGGCCCTGGAAGGTTGCTAAACGGTTACAGAGTTCAGCACATGTAGTAAAATCGGCCTTAAATTGGGAATAGGGTTTTGGGTAGGTTATCGATACATTAAAGCATAGTTGTGCGTCACATTTTGATAAGGAGCCAAGGAATGATGTTGGTACTTATTGAGGCGCTTCTATCTTAAGCCTTACAAGGACCATATAACCCTCAAAAGTAAGAGCCCTCTACCCTTATACCATGACTCCCTATCTTGTGTTTGAGCCTGTAACCCTCTTTTGGCTCAGATCGTCCCTGTGGAACTCCAAAACCTGAATTCTAAGACCCTAAAGCCTAAACCCTCGATTGTTTTTGGTATTCATTTCGTCGCTTATACATAAATCCTGTGGACCCCTTCTTATAATTATGGGTCATTTAGGTACCCCAAACCAAGACAAGCAAGATGCCCAAACTCCCAAAACCCTGACTAGGATGCCCTACGGTTGATGACATAAATCATGCATTACCTTAAGGACCCTAAACTATGGAAATTATGGTATATTCCTGAATATGGGTAATGCAGAATTTATATCATCAACAGCAGTAACTAAAAAGGGCTCCCTTTCTGGTATTGGGAGAAAGGGCGCACTGGCAGGCCTAGCCTAAACCCTAAACCGTAAACCCTACTTGAAGGCTCATGGGACTTAGTAAGAAGGTTATAGGTAGGTTGTAATTAGGATCACCCCACTTAGGGGACTTGTAACCCCAATTATAACCCACTTACTAAGTCCCATGATCCTCTAAGCAATCCCTAAACCCTAAACCCCATAGATCCCTTTAAGGAACCCCATAGATCCCTTTAAGGGAGCCCTTTAAGAACCCCTATACCTGCTTTAAGGAACCCCTAAACCACTTTGAGGGTTCACTTCGACCCCAAGGAGGGATAGTGCAGTGCCTTGATGGGAGATCGGAAAGTTTTAGGGCTTCCGGGTTTAGGGCTTGGGGTTCGTAAAGGGTTCCTTTAAGGGATCTACGGGGTTTAAGGGTTTAGGGTCGATATTAGGGGCCTTAATACTTAACCTATACTATTTGGGGGGTTATTCATTTATACTCTAACTTCGGCTTGCTAAGACTACCATACCATAGGTTTGGGGCTCCTTTAATAAAAAGGGTTCCCAGAAAGGGTACTATGAGGGGATACTGCAAGAGTTTATTTCAGGGGCGTTAATAATTAGAATAGGGTCGTTGGCTCCTCTAAAGGGTCGTTTAAGGGTTCTATAAGGGCTACCAGCAGGGACCCAAGGTTGTTGGGACCTGAATAATTGGAATAAGGTTTTGGGCCCATTCTACTACAATCTTAATAAAGAGCCACCAAACTAGTACTAGTGATTATCTAGGCCCCTATAGTGCCACTCCTGCTTTTTCTTCAAGGTGCGGATTAGGGATTGGGGTTTAGGGTTTACTGCCACGATACCTCACCCTCAATTCCCTACGGATGTCAAACACACATCTCCGAAAGTTTTGCCTGGTTTCTTGACCAAGCCCTAAACCCTTTACCTCATGAAGCCAGTCATGGGTCAGCATGCAAGCTTTTGACCGCCCCAGCTCCCTTGCACCTTAATCCCTAAACCCTGAAGCCCTAAATCCGAAAAGCTGACCCCTAGCCCCCCAGCAAAGCCCTCTACGAAACCACCCAAACAGGTATAAACCTGGTATAACTTCACAAAGAAGCCTGTGCAGCCCGAACCCCTAAACCCTGAACCCTAAACCTCAAACCCTTGATCCTAATTGTTAAGACCCCTATATTAAACATCCCCTTATAGTATCCTTTAAAGGAGCCCTTTAAAGGAGCCCCAAACCTATGGTATGGTAGTCCTAGCAAGCCGAAGTTAGAGTATAAATGAATAACCCCCCAAATAGTATATGTTAAGTATTAAGGCACCTAATATCGACCCTAAACCTGTAAACCCCTGTAGATCCCTTAAAGGAGCCCTATCAAGGAGCCCAAAACCTATAGTATAAGCGGCCCACAAAGGCGGCGAAGACCAAAAACCTTAACCCGAAACCCTGAAGACCTACCTTAACCTACCAAACCCTACCTTTTTGTAAGTTCCTACTGTTGATGATATAAATCCTGCATGACCCATAATAAGGAGTACACCATAATTCCCACATATTCCTTATTATGGGTAATGCAGGATTTATATCATCAACCGTATTTATAAACCCTAGCATGGAATTTATCGGGACTCTACTTCTTTGTAGCTTTTGGTAGGTTAAAGTAAGAGCTGAAACCGCAATAACCTTACAAAGAGCCCCACAAAGCCTTAGTAATTAGAATAGGGTTCCTTCAAAGGGGTCTACTATAAGGGATCTATAGTAGGGTTCTATGGTATATGGTTCCCTAATCATTAGAATAAGGTTTTGGGGTACATTGCACTGTAACCATATGGGAGTTTCCGAAAATAGGTGATGCCAAAACAGCACCCCAAATAGTGTAGGAGCCTGTTTAGAAAGATCCCCAAAAAAGGTACCCCTAATTTTCGGAAACTCTAAACCCTAAACCTTAAACCCTTTGTAGAACCCTTATAGTACCCTTATAGATCGCTTTAAAGGAACCCTAGGGTATCCCTAATTTGCGGAAACTCCCATATTAAGGACCCCCCCCCCCCCCCCCCAGTAGCCGAATCGGACCAGAGAAGTGCAGGGCCTTCATCTTCACCAGTCTGGTCTGCAGCAGGGCGCCCTGGATCTCAGGTTTTCGGGCCAAGGGTCCCAAAGGGTCCAACGGTTGATGATATAAATCCTGCATTACGCATATTAAGGAATATGTGGGAATTTTGGTATATTCCTTATTATGAGTGACGCAGGATTTATACCATCAACAGAAGTACTCCCTATTTTAGGGCTTTAGGGCGTTATTCGGTACCAAACCAAAAATAAGGACTACTTGGACCCTTCGGGGGTTAGGGTTTCGGGATAAGGGTTTCGGTTTTAGGTTTAGGGTGTATTTAGGGTTTAGAGGTTTGGGGTTTAGTGTGTATTTAGGGGTAGGTTTCGGGTTTCGGGTTAGGGTTGAGGGTTGAGGGTTAAGTTAAGGGTCTAGGGCTTCGGGTTTAGGGTCGCGAAAGTGGTTCAGGATTCAATGTGGAAGCCACTTCTAGTCCTGCAGTTACTACAGCCCCAAACCCCACAACGCCGTAAATTGGAAAAACCCCAACTACGGTTGATGATATAAATCCTGCATTACGCATATTAAGGAATATGTGGGAATTTTGGTATATTCCTTATTATGGGTGATGCAGGGTTTTTATCATCAACCGTACTGCGGCCTTAACAACTGCAGTAGGTGATAAGGCCGCTCGAACAATGCTTTATTCCAAGGGTAAAAGGAGGGACCCTTAATAAGGACCCCTAGGTATATACCCTTAATATAGCAAGTACAAACCCATTATTCGCACTGCTTCGCCGTGCGCGTGCATTCAGACTGCGCGTGATATTATTTCCCCGTTATATGGCCCATGATAGGGTAG